AACCTACTGTGTAGGTATATTCGAGACTGGCTTGAACGTTTAAAGTTCATTTCTTTATATTTGTTTACTGTCAGTCTTCAAGCATAGGCCACTGACTAATAAGAAAGGTTTTTCAGTATTATTTCACTCAGTAAGTCGACTCCTAATATATAGACGTAAATAGTCACTTGCTTTCATTGTTTGAAAGCACCAAATTTTTGGGTATCGACATAGATAGGAACATAGATTTCAAAACACATTGTGATAGACTTATTCCAAAATTACATACTCTATCATTTGAGCTACGGAATCTTGGCTATATTCTTTGTTTGGACCAACTGTTTCACCATGCTCGAAAAATATCATCAGGGGTGTTTGGAACAAGAATTGAAAAATATTCAGCTCTCAATTTGCTTTAATATACTTGTACTTGTATGACTGTCCGTATTTTTCATTTTGTCATATTCAGTTTCAGATCTACTGACTATTCCTAACACACTTATTTCACGAAATTGACAAACAGGAAAAAAAGAATTAGATTCGATTTTCTGAAGGACAATTCACTGGTCTTTCAATTTACCGTTAAACAGAAATTGAATGTGAAATTCAGTTTTCTTTCAAAAACCACTAGAACTTATACATCTTTCCTTCGAGATCAAGTTAGGAGTTACAAAAATTTAAGTGTAGATAACTTTTTCAAATCATCCTATAATTAAAATTTTCATATCTCAGTGTTTGCCCCTGTCCAAGAACGGTACAATCTGAAATTGCAGCACAACCTTATAGTGAGGAAATATAAGATTTCCGCAGCAGACAGCAGAGAAAATCCTGTGAATAACCCAAGTAGTCCCCCGAAGTTCGCCAAGAAATCGGTGGGTCCGTATAATTCATTCCTTTGGGAAGTGAGGAAAGATTCTTGTTTGAAGAAAACGCTTAACTTGGCAAGACGAACTCTGGAAAAGAAACAAGTAGTCATTTGTAGGCGTACCTCAGGGATCTGTATTAGGGCTAATACTGTTTTTTGTGTGTAAGTGAGTTGGGAACAGATATTTAGATATACTCTTGCCACTCTATGCTGTTGATGGCAAAAATGTGATGGTGAAGTAATGACTTAACCTGATCTAAGTTGAACTATTCAATATTGACATTGTTTAACTTGAGACAAGCTTGTGTTATAACTTGAATTTCATGTATATTAATATGTTAATTAATAATATATCTTATTGATTATACAGATAGTACAGCTATCATGAGCCGTTTGTTACTATTGTAGGATTAAATAATGATACTAATAATGTACACACACAAAATTATTATCATCATTTTTATCATCAGAATGAAAGAATATTACGTGCTTGCTGGTTAGATTTTTATAATAATCACAATATATGAATATCAATCTGTAAATATTATTTTTTTTGAGAGTGAATTCAAAGATTCAATGCTGTTTTGAATATATACAGTGTGTAACAACGAAAACTTAACAGAGCCGTTTTTGAATAAAAAAAGTAAGATTTTCAAAAAAAGCTCGGACACGTNGAAAGACCTTTAAAACAAGGTGCCACTCAACCTACTTTCCCTATCTAAATAAGGGTCGTCGGACGCACCCCTCCGAGGGGGTGCGTACTACAAAAAAATCTGGTCAGTCTGAAAGGTGTCCCCCTTTAATTAGAAATCGACCTGTCCGAGCTTTTTTTAAAAAACTTACTTTTTATATTCAAAAAATGGCTCTGTTAAGTTTTCGTTGTGACATACTGTATTGTTTGCAATTATTCGTATTACAACAGTATACTCAGTAAGTCATGCGAAGAGAGGAGAGATGAACGTCTGTCCGAAATACGGCTAGCGCTGTGGGTTAGAGTGAGGAGAGAGGGACCCCGTTACGCGTTATGTAACGAAGCGGTTTGCCCTCCCATAAGGAGTTATCACTTCATCAAAAATTCAGCGTTGTGCGATAGGGGCAATTTTGTAACAGCAGTATCCCAAAATACATGAATAAAGTTGGAGGATTTTCAGGATTTCGTCCTAAATTTTACTTGTGAAGGTATCAAAGTTATAGGGGCTTTCAAATCACAATTCCGAAAAGTAGCTCTACAAGCAAAAATGACTATTTGAATCAATAATGAAGTAAATTTACTCACGAACTTTCAGTAATGAACGATCTTCCTTTTCCTGTTTTGATTGGATGTGACTTTCTGAAATATTACAATGATTGTGTTGATTTAGAGGTCGAATAATTAGTTGTAAGGATTGATGAAAAAATGATCAGTGTTTCTGAAGTGAATTATATACATATAAGGTGGGCTAAAGAGTTCGTAGGATGATACACAGATGGCGCTACTAGTATTGAATTCATATTATTTTCAGTTAACCCCAACCTTCAGAAGGATAGTGTACAAATTTCACAGCTGCCGGACTATTAGCTTGTGGGATAGAACATTTTGAGTGATAAAGCATTGTTTTTTGATAAAAAAAATATAATGCTAGAGCCGACATTTGACTCGATAAACATTATTCGGGACTTTCCAATAGGAAAATCAACCGTTGAGAAGTGGTTTGCTAAGTTTGAACGCCTCAAAGAGAATGTAATCGATGAAAACATCAAAAAAGTCCACAAAGTAAGTTTGGATGACTGCAAATTGGTTGAGGTAGCTTCGGTTTCAAAGGTATCAAAGGACCGTGGCAATTGGCTTCCAATTACTCCTGTATCCACTATATTTTCCAGATCTGACCCCCATCGACTTTTTCAGTCCTCAGACCTTAAGAGAATGCTGGCTGGAGAAAAAACTGCTCCGATGGAGAGGTGATCATCGAAACTGATGCCTATTTTGAGGATAAAGACAAATCATACTATTAGGCCACTATATTGAATAATCAAATCAAATTTCATAAAAAAGTTTTTTTGGTCAGCCTGCGAATTTTCAACACCAATTTTAGTGTTTCCAATCAAGAATGTCTAATTATTTGTACGATTTCTAGTAAGTGCTTTCAAAATAGTTCAGGTCACTCGACAAAGGGTGATTCTGATCGTCTTGTCGATGATCTTCAAAAATCTTATTGTTCGAGTTATTTTAACAAAAACCTTTTCAATTTTGTATACTTTCACCGATGTACTCTGTCGTAACACCAAGTATATTTATAGTATCAAACTCAAAGATCCCATTTTTTTTTGTGAAACTACATCCCATACCTTCGGCTCACCAGGAAGCTATTGAGTAAACGAAAGCTTGGGGTGAAAAAGCATGTACCAGGTATGATTCTTCCCGCATAGCCACTTTAAAAAGATGACAAAAATGTAAGAATTTGTCTTGATGCTCACAAATTGAATCTGGTTATTGAGCCAGACTTTAGGTTAACACATGGGCTGGAACGTCCTGGGCCTAAGAGAGAAAACGAGATTTTTTCTGTTCAAAATTGGCTTCATTCATCAACGTAATTTTCATCAAGAGCCATATAATCATTTTAGCGCCGCTCTAACATTTCAATAACACTTTTGTAGAAGGATTCAACTTTTGCCTCAAAATGGGCGTCAGTTTCAGCAATAACCTCTTCATTTGAGCGAAATTTCCCACCGGTGACTATTTTGAAGTCTGCGGACAGCCAGTAGTCGCTGGGAGCCAAATCTGGTGAATACGGTGGATGCGGAAGTGACTCAAAGCCCAATTCATTAAATTTTGCCATTGTTTTGATTGGCTTGTGACACGGTGAAACATTTTTTTTCTTTGCCATTTGCGGTCGTTTCTTTGCTATCTCGGCCTTCAAGCGCTCCAATAACGATATATGAAATTCACTGTCTATGGTATTTGCCTTCTCAAGATAATCGATGAATATTACGCCACGCAAATCCCAAAATATGGAAGCCATAACCTTTCCAGCCGATTGTTGTGCTTGCAGCCGCTTTGGACGAGTTTCAGCAGTTGCTCTCCATTCAGATGACGATCGTTTTGCTTCCGGAGTGAAGTGATCCATATCCCAACTAGCAATTCCGTATTTTATAATAGTTGCGGAAACGTTTTGGAGAAACAAATTATAAAACTATATTTCTCCCAGAAATGTTTTGAATGTGTTTATAAAACTGTTATAAATAGGAAATTGGCACCGTTTTATAAAACATTATAGTTATTATCAATATTTTGTAAGGCCTTTTACAAACACTACAAAATAGTTTTATAAACATTTTGGCAGTTACTATAAAATTTGTCTAACACTCTNCTGTGATAAGTTCCTGAGTATTTTATAATGGTTTTTTAATTTTATTTCATAAACGTTTCTATGACAAATTTATAAAACACTTTTATTGCCTACAACTGCATTGTGTTCACCGATCATCTAATATGATCAATTAGCATTTTGGAAGTAATTATAAAATACTAATAAAATAAAACTGTTGCAACACCATGGAATTATAAAACAAATTTGCTGGTTGGGATTTCATTCATTGTCACATATCGATGCAAAACTTTTGGTTCGTTATGTTTAAACATGGCCAAACAGAATCATCAAAACTTTCTTGTTTTTGGTCAACAGTGAGCTCGCGCGGCATTCACTTTGAATAGAGCTTTCTTAGTGTCAAATGCTCATGCAAATTAAACCAATACGTTCTTTTGATATCTAAAAATATCAGCTAACTCAAGCAACTTCACTTTTCGGAAGATTCAAAACGATTTTGTAGATTTTTCTCATATTTTCTGGTATTACCGCCTCATTTGAACGTCCATTGCGTTCTGCATCATTATTGTCTCTACGAACGTGGTCGTAGAGTGAAGTCAGCAAATCAACATTCAAAAATGTTGTTTCCGAAGGAGCGAGGTCCTTGTAACACTTCTCGAACCATTGCTTCGCTTGAAAGGTATTTTTTCCCATTAAGAACTAGGGTAAAATCAAAACACGAAATTGTCTTTGATCAATTGTTTTGAAAATAATAAAAGTAGTGTCACTCTCAGCACAACAAGTCACAGCTCAATGAGTACAATATCATAAAATTTCAACAGCTTTCTTCTGAAGGTTGGTACCAACTGAAAAAGTGATGAATGCAATAACACTAGCCCCATCTATGTGTTAAGGCCGATACTCTTCAACCCTGGTAGTACCTACTTCTTCCAATAAAAGAATTAGTCAGATTAATACATGACAGAAAAGTAATGACCACCTCAGATTCTACTCATAACTACTGGCATATAGGGGTGAGAGAAGAGCATCACCAGAATGGGTTTTTTTTGTTGGAACCGCGACTTATTTTCTTGCTTGATTTCTTCTGGTTTCAATTTTTACAGCTGTTTCATCGTTTACTCTCTTTCCAGACTAGGTTTTGGCCGCTGAGTTGACAGTTTTTTCAAAAATCAATATTGATCACATTACTGATAATGAGTGATTCAAACGAAGAACATTACAAACACTCTTTACATAATGCATGCAGGTTCTGCACTATGGAGAAGTTTATTACAGAAGGAGTTGTTTCAGGTAGGTTACGTTATGAAATTTACTTAGCCACTAAAAAAAAACCTACCAGGTATTTTCATTCAAAAAAGTCCAAAGTAACAGTCCAAAAAACAAAGAGCTCACCCCATTTCATCAAATCCTCCAATTCCTCGCGCTCGATATTGTTCTTTGTAGTCCCACTCTGACTGGGATTCTTCAATGTTATACCTCAGTTCTGTACACAGAGGTTTACAGTCACAGAAAAAGTCCTCTCGGTCTGAAGAAATTTGGGTTTCGAGTTGGATTATCTTCAAAGCCACTGAAATGCAAAAATGAGCTCTTCATTTGAATTTGGAATGCTTCACTTTTTGTTAAGCACTCAGAGCTGAAGCTTTGAACTCAGTTCTTTCAATACTCACTCTCAGCATCGTGAATACACCTCAAACGACCATTTCCGCAGATGGGAGTAGTCTTTTCTCCTGAAAATTGTCACAATCAGAAATAGAAAAATCAGGCATAGTAAACTGGGGTTAAATGGTAAAGTTTCAAAATTCGTAAGAAAAGTATACAATTATTAAGGCGTTAATATACTTTTACACATCCGGAAAAAATATGATGAAATCAAACTTGAACGTTATTTCTACACAAAAATGATTCATTTAAAAATGACTGAGACGTCACTACCAATTGGACTTGTCCCTCCTTTCGAAATGCTTTCCAAAATGTATGTTTTTTGTGGGCCAGAAAAAAGTACATGAATGAATATACCACATATCCAATTAATGGGTATGATGACAGATTTTGGAATACTGTTGTATAATGTTGGGAAATGTCATATCATCGCAAAAAATTAAAGTATTTTTTACCATTGGTTTCGGGCTCATTAGCTACTCATCAGTGCAATATAGTGGCCATTATCGACCTAAAGTCAATGATATTCCATAATTGAAAATCGAAATTCTTTCAAGAGTATTTCATTCCTTTTCCTAAGTTGGAGCGAACAACAAAATGTCACTCCATCTAGTGGGCGAGGTACTAACCAACTGCATATCCGAAATGTGCTCGATTCCTCTGAATGAAGAAGAAAAACTTTCTTATCAGTCAGTGGGCTATGCTTGAACTTCAAACGTTCAAGCCAGTCTCGGATATACCTACACAGTAGGTTTAATGGACTGACGCCTATCAAAAACGACTACTCCCCTGGCTAATACCACGAAGGGCGTTGGTGTGCCCGTTCCAAAATTGAAGGTCGACTCTTTCAGTTGTATTGCCAATTGCATTTGCAGGGAATTTTCTGTGAAGATTCCTGCACTGACGCCTGTCGGATATAATCCAACGCCCTTCGTGTTATTAGCTAGGGGAGTAGTTGTTTTCTGATCAACCTACTGATTAGATTTTTTTATAATTACTCAAGTTTTCATGTAACCGCTGTTTGTAAAATTGATTCTTCGTTGTTTTAAATAAAATTTAAATCACTTCTACATTGGGTAAATTCATTTTTGAACTCATCTGGGTAGTATTTTTTCAACCTTTTTTTCGTGAAGTTTTTTTTTATCGATTTCATCAAACCCCAAGTTATCTAGGGTAATTTATTTTTTTTTATATGAGTTGATATTCAGTAGCTTGGTTCTATGGTATAAAATTATTCTATGAACATTGGGAATCTTCGCATTGTAAAACAAGGGCCCATATTTCATTGGTTAGGATGCCCTTTAATTTTTCATAGTATATTTTTATAATACTGATATTTTCACGTTTGGTTTGAAAAACTATATTACTATGACTAACGTTGCAGATACACAATGAAGTTCTGTAATGATCAGATAGACTGGTTTCAATAATTGAAGAGTTGAAAGAATGATTCTGTATCGAAACCATTTTTATAGAGGATTTTACGAACTTTCTCTGAATTATTTTTCCGGTAGCTCCTACCATTCAATAGATATACGCAAAAACAAACCTTGAATAAAACACAACGCACACGTAGGATCAATATGCCCTTCTGACGTTTCATTACCATAGACGTATTCATAGTATGTATGAAAATTCAGCTTGTTGGAAACCTCTGTCCTCTTTTCGTCTATTTTGTCTGGATTAAAAAATACAGGAAAACGACATTCAGGGTGTTGCCAAGTTCATAAAATTTTCAGTCACGACCACCGCTTTTACTCGATTTTGAAAGGTGCAAAGGTCCATTAAGGTTTACTTCACAGAGAGAATACGAAAATATAATAAAAATACGTCATTCAGAAACATTATCACAAACTTATATTTGCGAATGAAAACACTCACTGGGCATGTAAAAATCAACACATCCACACTCCTGTTCAGTATCTCTTTATCTGTAAAGTAGGGAGGGAGAGTGTAGGCCCACAGCACTTAGGCCACATGTGACCCATTGTGCATCCTCCCGAGGAGTTGTCCTTCTAGGTCATCGTCCATCCTGTCCTTTCCAGGAAGGTGGACAGGTCACTAGGAGACATCTCCTTTATATTGGCAGGTTTAGGCCAAGACTCACCGAACACACACTCTCTAGTTGACGATAACTCCGGACATTCGCATAAGACATGCATGACAGTTTCATCTTCCTGTTAACGCATCCTGCATAGAGGTGTATCCACCAGCCCCACGTGGAGGTGTTTCCTTAGTTAGCAGTGGCCAGTCAGAAATCCAAATGTTGAGCGTAGATTTTTCCTGGTTATCGCCAGATATTTCTTCGGCGCCAGCTTCCCAGGGTCGCCAAGGGCGATCCTGGCAAGATTGCATCCTTAGATTTCATCCCATCTCTTTAGGGATTGAGCATGGGTGTGACGATTGGCTGGTTGCCTCAATTGTCGAAGTCATCAGGCCGTAGGTGCGTTTCCTTGGCTAAAGAGTCGGCAATGTGATTACCTTTACTCCTGTCGTGCCCTTTAACCCACCTCAGGATAATGTTATTATCTACCTCTAGTACACGTTTTCTGTTCAAGGATAATAGGGCTTGTCTGCTATCAGTGCAGACTGTTATGTTTTTGCCAGAAATTCCTTTTCTGGTTATTTCTTTCGTGGCGTTTGAGATACCAGCCATTTCTGTTTGAACCACGCTGGTAATTTTTCCCATTCTCTCCACATCCTGAGCCTTCTTTGGTTTTTGAGCCGTCTATATATATATGCGTATTTCATTTGTAGCATCTGACTCTGTGTTCTGTTTTATTTGCATTTTGTAGGGTTTATTATACACAAACCTGGGTTCAATTGCATCCCTAGTTGCCTGCAACAGAGGTTGCGCAGTAAGCGCTTCTCTCCATAGGCGCAGCCTCAACTGACCCATTCCTACTTCGAGGTTCACACCAGCCTTGCGCAATCGTAACATGGTCATTAACGCAACCTCCTCTGGAATAAAAAATACAGGAATATGACATATTTACCCGACGTTTTTACTCGATTTCGAGAGGTGCAAAGCTTCATTAAGGGTTACTTCACAGTTATAACACGAAACTATAATATTGAAATACGAAAATATATTAAAAATGCATCATTCAGGAACAATATCACAAAGTTATATTTGCGAATGAGAACACTTACTGGGCATGTAAAAATTAACGCATCCACACTCCTGTTCAGTATAATTCGAGAGGCATTCCAGTTTGCAGTTGGTAGGAGAGTACTGCTTGAAATATTTGAGCTTTTTCTCTGTAGTGAAGTAACATTCGCGTTTTTCTGGACTGTATTTTTTCACAGCCTCTGAAGTCGTCATCAGTTTTGGTTGGACCACCGCAATGGCTGCTCTATCGAAAGGGACTTGAAAATATTGCTTCTTTACCAGAGGTATGGTATAAGGTGCATGGAGTAGTACCTGAAAAATTATACATGGATAACACAGTACATACAATTACAAATTTGCAGATCTAGCTGTTCGCTGAGATGCCCCAACGATTGAGAGGAATAATAACTGTACACTACCTGCTTTCATCGGGAAGTACAATCGGGAAAAGAATTTTTGCCTAAATGAATTCAGCAAGTGTTGACAACTACACATATAGCAGTATGGGACGGGAACAATTTCTTCATTTTGTTTCCTTCCTCCTACCATATATACCTAAAGTGGGTCAAAAAGACCCACACCCTAAATCGGTACGATCAATCAGCCTTACATCCTTCCTGTTGAAAGGACTCGAGAGGATACTGGATGGACACATCAGGAAGGTGGCATTAAAAGCATCCCCCCTGAATTATCACCAGTATGAAGAAGAGACAATTGAAACTTTCTATGTTTTTTACCGCCATCAAATGTATAAGTTGTATACATATAATGTATGAGTTTGAAAATGCCTTTATAGGACGAAACTGCGGTAACGTTAGTTACAAATAAAAGTGGTAAAAACATCGAAAGTTTCAGTTCTTTTTTCTTCATTATGATTTCCTACCACGTAGTAACAACGGCTACATCCATTAATTCATTACCTACCAGTATGTTTATCAAACCGGAAAATCGACAGATTCAGCATTAAACAACCTTGTAGAGAAAATCCCCCGATCCCTTTACAATGAGATTGCGGTTGCTGTATTTCTCCATATTGAAGGAGCATTTGACAATGCACTACCTGAATCTATAGGATCATCTCTGGCTGGAAAAGGTATAGAATCATCCATACCTGGCTGGATCTATGCCATGCTGGTAAACAGAACTGCAACTACGACTCTTCAAGGCGAGACCATTAGGTTCAGAGTTACCAGAGGCTGCCCTGAAGGTGGGGTATTATCTTCCCTTCTGTAGTTGCTCCTGATGGATAGTATGCTTGATGCCATCGACAGAAGAAAAGTAGATCTGCGAGTTTATGCAGATGACCTTGTCATTTTGGCAAGGTCCACGTCGGGAAGGGTAGCTTGTAATATCCTCCGAACGATGGATGTTGTTCACAGTTGGTGCCTGAGGAAGCACATGTCTGTGCTTTCTCAGGCTGTGCTGTGATAATCCCCTTAACCAGGAGGAGAAAATGGGTGGTGAAACTTATTGTTTAGGTCCCAAACAAATCTATTGTATTTATGTGATGCAATTGCCTGGTGGACGAAGGCTTTACAGAAAATGGCCCAGGCGAAGCTCTCTGGCTTACAGAGACAGGCTTGTCTAGTCATCAGTGGTGCCATCAGAATCACACCGCCAGCGGTCATCGAGATCCATCTATATCTACCTCCTCTCCACATTTTTCTGGAGGAAGAGGCTAGATGGACTTCATATAGACTTGTGCACATTGCCAATTGCATAAATAAATTTAATGCAAATTGTTGGTTGACACTGAAAGTCACAACATTCCGGAAATGACAGCTGACTTTATGTCTCCAACTGTCAACTACGAACTGCCTCATAAAGTACGGTTTCCGAGTAGAGAGGACTAGATCCTCCGGGACAAGGAAATATTATTAGCTATTGAGTTGTGTGCGGAGAGATTGGAAAAATCCAACCTCATACACAAGACAATAAAATTATTCTCGGACAGTCAAGCGGCGTTGGAAGATCTTGACTTCTGCCGAGCAACGTATAAATTGGTAGCAAATTACCAAAAATGACTCTCCTCCTTAGGAAGACTCAACAGATTGTCTCTGGTCTGGATTCTTGACCATACTGGCCTAGAAGGCAATGAGGCTGCCGATTCCCTTGCAAAGGATGGTGTTGCAAGCAGCTTAATCAGACCAGAACCTTTCATTGCCATCGCTTTAGGCTTTGCTAGACAAAAATTAAACACCTGGATAGTTAGAAGGTTTATGGACTTCTGGCAGAATCTTCCGGGACTGGCTTACCCCAAGGCGTTCATTCACTCTTCGAAGCTTGATACCGAACAGTTGTTGGATTATAGTAGGGATGAACTACGATGTATAACTGGTCTTCTTTCATGCCACTGTCATTAAAATCATCATATGCAGAGACTCGGACTGTTGGAGGACAGTGTGTGTCGCCTCTGTTTGGAAAATGATAGAACAGCAGAGCACATACTTTGTACCTGCCCCGTTGGGGACCAAATCAGGTTTTTAGTGTTCGGCAGAGCTGTACTCTATCTGGCCTGAAATACCACTCACCATACATACTAATCGGCGTCGTTAAGAAGCTGGGTTTACTTGGTCGAGTGCGAATAGGTGTGAGCCACAATAAACCCTTACGGGTTGAGGTAGAGGGTCAAATAGACCCACTCACTTTGGACCTAACCTAACCCTAACCTAACCTACCAGCACTTATCCTTTTCTACAATAAGACATCAAATTACGTTAGTTGACTTATTCATTTACAAACTGATTTCATTCGTGGTTTTATGCAAAGTTTGAGATCCAATAAAACAAATCACAGTGTGGAACCCGCGTCCTCATTTCACAAACCGCTATCAAAATTGTTGTGTGTTTCCGGATACGAAGCAGTTTCTAATGTTGAATTTGGACCCAATTCTTCTCATCCTTTGGAAGAAAAGAGAAATGAAACTTTCTCTGTTTTTCACCACTTTTAACTAACGTTACTGCAGTTTCGTCATACACGGACATTTTCAAGCTTACAAAAATGTATTGTATAAGTTGTATAAGTCCATTAAGGACGAAACTGCAGTAACGTTAATCACAAATAAAAGTGGTAAAAACATAGAAAGTTTCATTTCCCTTTTCTTCATTATGATTTCCTACCACGTAGTAACGGCTACATCCATCAATTTATTTACTCATCCTTTTGGACAATCATCTGACGTAGGAAAGGACAAGCACTGGTTGTGACAGCTTTTCTTCCTTGCGAGGCTCTTGCCTTCTTGTGCCAAACTTTGTTCCACCATCACTCTGGAGCAACCATTCCATTGAAGATTTTTTTCGATGATGCCTAGTTTCTTCTTGAGACTTTTCTTCGTATCACAGAGTCTGAAAGCATGGTTTACTAGAGTCTTGATGATTCCCTTTCCGGTAGATTGATGGTGGTTGGATTCGTGATTCAGTTACTGCCTCGTGTGAGTGGTATACAGATGGTTATACAGATGGTATACAGATGGTTCCTAATTAATAATGCTCTATATTCCAGTAAATTATTTCCAATAGCAATCATCAATAACAATGGTTTGAAAATTTCCAAAAAGTAACTTGGTTTTCAATACTCACACTAAACCCTTGAATATCGTCCAAGCACAAATAATCCAAATCGGTGGTATTCTGTATGAAAGTTATTTGAAGGGAATTGTCAGCCCCAGCGAGAAATGCCCTGGTCGGATAGCTTTCCATTCCACTGTTTTTTGCGTAGCCTTCATCTATAGACCAATTCGATTTTTGAAAATTTTCGTGATAATCGGAAAATTGGAATCTGGAAAATAGTGTTTTCAATGCACTACAATGAAGTCCAATTTTTTGTTTGTAGAAAATTCTGATTGTGGAAATAATTTATGGATGATGTATGGAGAATGTGGGAGAATAAAGCACTTTCATGACCTTTTGTAGTGAGTTTTCAGGGGTTATACTGATAAAATTTCCATATGAAACATACTCACACATTTGGAATGGAAACTTCACTTCTATACAACATATTGTAAGCATAGCAAACACTGCTATCCAGGATTATCGAAGTAAACATGTTGAAACAGACTACTTCCACATATATAAAACACATACATACATACAGCATACATGGAAAAACATACATAAAATGACATGAAACACTTTCATGATCTTTCTAAATGGTACATGACATTTCAGGTATTCAATTTACAAAAGACTGAATTGTTCATTGATTTTTCACGTGCGTTTGATTATGTTGATCACAGCCTCTTGCTGAAAAAACACTCAAGATATGGGGTGATAGGACTGCCACTCAATTTATTGACATCCTATCTTAAAATAGGAAAATAGGAAACAGATAGTGAAAATTGGGGAGAATATGAGATCTGAAAAACACATTGCCGATGGTGTGCCTCAGGGATCCATTTTGGGACCTTTTCTGTAATCAGTATTTGCAAACGACGACAACACCATGAGCTGAGTCTATTCCAGAATTTCAAATTACAATTGGAGCCCACAACAACAACTAAATTGTTAGGAGTTACCTCCGATAACAACTTGCAATTTTAATTCTCATTTCAGATATGGAATACTGAACTGGGGCACAAGCTCCTCTGTGGATCGAGTGTTCATGATACAGAAGTATGCAGTAAGGATCATTGCTAAGTTAGGATTTAGTAATACAACATAAAACACATCCATATAACATACTTGAAAAATATTCATAAAACACATACATAGAACAACATGAAACACTACGTGACTTTTCAGTTTTTAATATAGAAAACCTTCTATATAAAACATACTTACATTTTTGGATTGGGAATCCCACTCTGTCCAAGATATTGCAAACATAAGAAACACTTTCATCCAGAATTATCAAAATGTATACGTTGAAACAGTCACTTTCAACATACACAAAACACATATATGCAATACTTATGATGCACTGTTTGGAGCCTTTGGTGTAGCAATGAATATTACTGGAGTTTTTTCCTAACACCAAATCGTCATTTTTAACACCTCGACACGTGTTTCGATCACGAAGTGATCATCTTCAAGGGAAGATTAAACTGGAAAACTTGCGAAGCTAACCCTATTTATACCATACAGATATACGACACATACAGGTATACCACACCTTTGGTGTCTTGAATTAATTTTACAATATGTCTCATCTATTAATTTTACAATATGTCCTTATGTAATATTTAACTGTTATAGCTATATATAAAACAATTTTCAAGCTACATAAAAATTTATTTCACAATATTGCCTATCTAAATTATTTTTAAAATGTGTCCTTATGTAATAGTCGTAAATCTAATAATAATATTTCAACAAGCTATATAGTATGCTATTTGATATTGGTGTTTACTTATTTGTTTTTATGTATACTTATTTGTTTACTTATTTCTACAGTCTCATGAAGATTATCACTTGGTGATCGAAACACATGTTGAGGTGTTAAAAATAACGATTTGGTGTTGGGAAAAAACTCCAGTAATATACATAAATACAACATACATAAAACACAAACATAGAACAATTCGAAACACTAGATGACTTTTATATAAAACTCACTTACATATTTGGATTGAAAATCTCACTCTATCCAAGGTATTGCTAACACAGCAAAAAATTTCATCTAGAATTATCGAAGTGAATATGTTGAAACTATCAATTTCAATATATACCAAACACATACATATAACATACTTGAAAAATATTCATGAAACACATACATAGAACAACATGAAACACTACATGACTTTTCAGGTTTTTAATAAAGAAAACATTTTATATAAGACAACCTTACATGTTTGGATTGGGAAAAATCACTCTGTTCAAGATATTGCAAATATAGCAAACACTTTCATCCATAATTATCGAAATTGATATGTTGAAACAGTCACTTTCAACAAACATAAAACACATAAATACAACATACATAAAACACATACACACATATAACATACTCAAAAAATATTCATAAAACACAAACATAGACCAATTTGAAACACTAGATGACTTTTATATAAAACATACTTACACATTTGGATTGAAAATCTCACTTCTGTCCAACATATTGTAAGTATAGCAAACACTCTCATCGAGGATTATAGGCGTGAATATGTTGAAACAGTCGACTTCAACATTCATTAGTTTACATTCGTAAAGTAGATATTTCAGCGGTATTCTTATCTGGAACCAGTACAATTGCAATTCAAAAGATATTCAGGATGCATTTCCATAGCGATAATACCTCATCCAGTTTTTGAAAAAAGTCATCTGTAAAGGTTTCGTTCTGTGGAAATAGCTCTGTGCCAAACTCGCAGACCACCGACATATACTGCCCATTAAGTTTACTGAAAAACAAATTCGTCATTTTCTAATAAGTCGTCAATATTTTTCAGCATAAATTTTCATTTCTATTTTATGTGTGCATTCAGAAAATTGTTGAATATCAGACAGGTGGCATACCTATTTCCGTTCAACTTGAATTCGTAGAGAAAGATTGGCCGATGATTGCTCAACGATATCATGTAGAAAAGAGCAAAGTAGAATAAATACGAGGGTTGCCTTTTATGTTTGGAGATTTGGCAACCCTTGTGTTGCAATCTGGCAACTGGCAATCGTAACGTTGGATATTTTTGAGCTTATACGTACTCAGAACGTTCTGACATACGCGCGCTATTTGTGTTGTTTACACTAACTTAAAAGATTCATTTCGGCACGAACGTCATCACCGTCTTCCTCATATACACACACATATTGCATCGTATAACTCTCACACACGTCACATCTACCTCGAGTTGGGTATTCCACAAGATTCCGCTACCAGGTCTGAAAATGACTGAATTCAACCCCCATAAGAAAGAGTATTGGATTTTGAGCCAGAAACGATGTTTTTTAATAAATGGCGTATTTTGAGACGCCCTGTATATCGCGATGGTAGTCATTTTTTTTTCTTTAACTCTGCCCACACCCTGTATACCTCGATGACAGCCATGTTTCTTGAATAAGACACCCTGTGTACATTGAAGAATCACACGTTGAAACAATGGAGTCCTGTTAAACTGCCTTGTTCCTTAAATGACGTATTTTGAGACACCCTGTACACACATAGAGAAATCGCACGCGAAAAGATCGAAAACGCACGAAAAACGGTCGAAACGCACAAAAAACGGTCGAAAACGCACGCAAAACGGTCGCACGTAAAAACGATAGAGCCCTGTCAAACTGTAATTTTTTTTTAAGGCGTATTTTGAGACACCCTATGTACATTGAAGTCATGGTTTTTTTTCTTGAATGATGAGACACCCTGTTTATCTCGATGGCAGCAGCCATGTTTTTGCTGTAACGCTGGACGCCATGTTTTTTTCTTCAATCCGATTTTTCACTCATTATTATTTTCATAATTCAACCGCGTTGCTATCACGCTTTTCCAATTTTCATCGAGGCTTTCACACTTAATTTTAAAACCGGCGATGCTACATTGTCTCATAAACAACGATTTATTTTACAACCGACAACACCTGATGCGCTAGGAACGTGAAACATCGATACCATCTCTATCTCTCTTTGCCTCGATTACGTCACACGCGTCTCTCGCTCTTACACACACATACAAATCTTTATATCAAATATTAATTCTTTCCCAAATCTACGTACCTATATTTTCCTATCTTCAACATGATAATGACGATTACAACTTCCCTAACATTCTACGGATTAAAAAAAAAATGCGGTCAAGTATATAAAATGAGTCAATTTCGGTCCCGACAAAACTTACGCTTTAAATACCCATCATCCGCAGTTTCTTTTAATGTCTTACATCTTTGTAGAGGCTAAGGATAATGTCTATCACGCAGACGTCCTGGGTTCGATTCTCATAACTATAAACTTTTTTATGACGTCACGAAACAAAAATGTGTTGAGCGAAAAGCTGTGCTGTATTATTCATTCCACAGAAGATTCAAATATCCCGCCACAATGTTCTGAGATGCAAAAGCGTGTGCTCTGAATGGCGAGTTGCGTGACAGTTTGAGGACGCAACGTGACAATTTGGTACACTCTGATTGGTTCACCGCTGGGTGACAGGACATCACGTGATAATTTGGTTGACTGGATGGTCTGTCTGCCTTGCGAGCTGAGAAGCAACGTGGCTGGTGTGATGACGTCACCGCCTGCCGTCTGTCTCGCTACTAGAAGTAGCATCAGTTGAGGCAGACGGTGACGTCATCATACTAGCCAGGCTGCTTCTCAGCAAGGTATACAGACCATCCAGTCAACCAAATTGTCATGTAGCGTCCTCAAACTGTCACGCGCAATCAGAGCGCACGCTTCTGCATCTCAGAACATTGTGGCGGGAGATTTGAATTTTTTGAGGACATAAATAATTCAGGCAGACAGCCGTGACGTGTCCTGACTTGGCACCGAATGACTTTTTTTATTCCCGCACGTGAAAAACAAACTGAGAGGTCAACTTTTTTTGACACCTGAAGAAGCTGTTGCTGCATTCAGAATGCATGTTTTGGAGATACCTCAATCAGAGTGGCAAAAGTGCTTCGACAATTGGTTCAAACGCATGCAAAAGTGTATAGAACTCCATGGGGATAATTTTGAAAAACAATAAAGTGATTTTCAATGATTAATATTTGTTTTCGTTCGTTTATCCCGAAATATAAAAGGCAACCCTCGTATTAATTGAGATATGGAGCTACATTAAAACGGACAAAACTTCCAAAACAATTTATTAGGGACCTATTCTCATGTTATAATTCAATCATTTGAAGCATATATTCCATGTTTGGTGTTAGGCAGTACATTTGTGACATTTTGTAGATCCACACATGATGGGATATTAGAATAACAGATTCAACCCCTCTTAATGGCTAAACCTCCCCAATATTCCTTACATGTCAAAAATACTCACTCTTCGAAAGTCAGATTTTTCTTATCTCGCATTTTGTAAATAACATCAGTGAAGTTAAATAGTTGCTTTCTCGCTTTTGACATTGGACAGAAGGTGACAGCAGGGAAAGGTATACTGTATATTGGAGATTCTTTAGTAGCGAAACTAACTATCACAGGGCTCTGGTTGAATTTGCTGTAAATTTGACTGATGAGGTAGCCACAAGATGCAAGGGCCGTTGTTATTAGTACCAACCATAAAATCCTGAAATAATTAAAAATTTGCTACAATAACTGCACAAATAGGTTCCGATGTCATCAGTACTGAAACTGTTATTTTTTCAAAAAGTGAGTGAGCGTACTTAGAGACTAGCCGTAAATCAAATTATCTAAAAGAACAATTCGTTCAGGCCAGTCTGAACTCCCTACACTATAGGCTAATAGACTGACACCTATCAGAAAACAACTACTCCCCTGCCTATGCAAACCCGGCTAATCCAACGCCTTTCGTGGTATTAGCCCGGGGAATAGTTGTTTTCTGATAGGTGTCAGTCCATTAACCTACAGTGTAGGTAATTTGAGACTGGCCGCAAGAAGAAGAGTTTCAGGTCTCTTAACTCAAAAGCATTATCATCATAAAAAACTTCATGTTTGAAATATGGTTGCAAGTGAGAAAACTTTTCGAAAGAGTCTACATTATTTGTCAAATTCAGCAAATTCTGCAACATCGAATACAAATGAAGATGATTGCAGCATGGCTGTAGAAAATTGCAGTATCATGCGGATGATACTGCAATTTTCCTGGAAATCACTGGAAACATCTCAATATGCAGCTGTAATATGATCAAATACCTTGGTGTTATGATAGACAATAACCTGAAATGGAATAAACAAATCGAATACATCACTAAGAAAATACAGTTTTTAATTTATAAACTCATAAATGTTAAATATATTCTAGATTTCAAAGCAGTGAGAACGATGTATCAGGCGTTAGTGGAACCACATATTGTGTATGGNGCTACAGTTACTTCGGAGTGCTTGCAGGTCAATTCCAAACTGGTCTGGAACTGCCTAGAAAAGCTACAAGAACTAGGTAGTCTAAACAGACTGTCATTAGCCTGGGTACGAGGCCACAAAAGATACAAGGGCAACGAAGAGGCTGATTCACTAGCACGAGAAGGAGCATGATGCTCCCCTATTGGCCCAGAACCCTTTTGTGGTACAGCAAAAGCGCTGCGAAAAACTAACAGCAACTGGAAGGAAAAAAAATCTCAAAAATGGTGGAATAAGGTGCCGGGTATGAAACAGGCCAAAGAGTTCATTAAAGAGCCATCGCCAAAATTCACGGAGTAACTACTGAGTCTGAATAGGCAATCAACTAGAGTTCTGGTTGGGCTATTGACGGGACACTGTAGACTCAACAAACACATGAACAACTTCGGACTGGCAGACACAGCCCTAAGCAGGTTTTGCCAAGAGGATGAGGAAACCTCCGTGCACATAATTTGCTATTGCGAAGGTCTGTCAAGGATAAGGTTTGCAACATTAGGAGAGGAAAAACCACAACCCTCTCAATATATGGGGAACTTGAGGTCTGGCCTCAAGCCTGGAGTCTGGTTACAAGGACGGTTTTGTATTTATGAATGATAATGCCCCACCACATCGGACACTGGTTGTGCAAAACGCTCTGGAGGAAGAAGGATTTGTACGGATGGATTGACCACCGAGTTCACCAGACATAAATCCGATAGAACGTGTTTGGAGTTACAGAAATGATACATCAGGTAGCTTAGAACAGCTTCAAAATGCTATTTCATTTCTGTTTTCTCGAATAAATTATTGAGATATACAATATCGTTTGTTTGTTACATTTATTGACTTCTATTCATCACTTATAGATAATTTGTTGAAAAAAAAACTGATATGGCGTACTAATGCACTTATTACGCCTGTTAGTGTATATGAAAGGGTACTTTGCGGAATTGAATAAAAAATTCAATCGTTCATGAATTTTTCAAACTGAGTATCACAACTTACTTTTCACAAACAGTTCTTTTCTCAGCTAAATAATGGAATCCATGAATACTTGTATTGTCACAGTATTCCTTGAAGTACTGATGTATTCTTTTGAAATTTTTTTTCTTTTTGGGTACTTTTTCATTGTTCACAGCACTTACAGTTTGAATATCGAGAACCATTATAACCATGTGCGAAAACAATAAACTACAACAAGATATTTTTAGACCACGCCTAGATTAGAATTACGCTGCTTCTTGTATCTCTTGGCACTGTAATGCGTTTATGAATTATATCAATTAATTATCAGGTTCGAATTAATTGAATTATCCCCTAGTACGAGGAAAGCAATTTTAAAATTGACCATGAGGGACCAGGAACGAGAGGATATTAATACCTTCTGCAATATAATTTATGTAATACCTGTTGTGTAATGTCATGTAAACATGATGGATGTTGATACTGACAAGATAAATACAGAGATCTAGAGTAATTATTAGAGTGGTTTATTAATCATTTTTAGATAAATTAAAGATTACGCAAAATGAAATTTTTTTGTGTAGAATATATAGGGTGAATAATAATAAAGGGCGAACCAAAGTATTTCAATAGATCAGGAGTATATAAGCTGACTTGTGGCTCTTGTACAAAACTGTATATTGACCAAACAGGAAGAACATTTTTCCAACGAATTAATGAACATAGGAGTAGTTTTGTAAATAGAAAGACCAATTCCACATTTGCAAACCATCTTTTAGCAGAAGGACATGAGTTCAATCATGAGTACGAGGTGTTACATTTAGAAGAGAAGAGTTTGAAACTTAATCTTCTAGAATGTTTGATATAGGTTAGGTTAGGACCAAAGTGAGTGGATCTATTCGACACTCCACAGCAACCCGCAAGGGTTTATCGTGGCTCACACCTATTCACACTCGACTAAATAAACCCACCTTCTTTACGAAGCTGATTAGTTTGTATGGTGAGTGGTCTTTCAGGTAAGATGTAAGAGTACGGATCTGCTGAACTCTAAAAACCTGATTCGGTTCCCAGCAGGGCTGGCACAAAGTATGTGCTCTGCTGTTTCATAATTTTCCAAAAAGAGGCACACTGTCTTCCGACAGTCCGAGTCTCTGCATATGATGGTTCAAATGACAGTGACCTCTAAGAAGGCCAGTTGGACATCGTAGTTCATCCCTACTGTAATCCAACACCTGTTTGGTATCAAGCTTCGAAAGGTAAATAAACGCCTTGGAGTGACCCAATCCTGGAAGAATAGAAGATTCTGCCAGAAGTCCATAAATTTTGTTGCCATCCAGGTGTCCAATCTTTGTTTGGCAAAGCCTGAAGCGATGCCAATGACAGGTTCTGGTCCGATGAAGCTGCTTGTAGCACCCTCCTTTGTCTGGCCAGGAATCCAGACCAGAGACAATCTGTTAAGTCCAGACCAGAGACAATCTGTTTTTGGCAATTTGCTACCAATTTAGACGTTGCTGGGTAGCAGCCAAACGCTTTCAATGCCGCTTCACTGTCCGAGAATATTTTATTGACTTATGTATGAGGTTGGATTCTTTCAATCTCTCCGCAAACAATTCGTTAGTGTGAATTTTCGCTTGAAATACAGCCGCATAAGTTCCTAGGCAGGTTGATATTTCTGTCCTGGTTCTGCGACTGAAAACACCTGCATCAGAACCGGAAGGTGTTTTTGATCCATCTGTGAACCAACAGCTATCTGCGCTTGATATCTCCTTCTCCCGAAGGATTCAGTCCTCCCTCAGATATAAAACAGCGTTTTTCAAATCTTCGAAGTCGCTATGATATGTTTTTGGTATGTCCTCGAGCTCTCTCAGCGATTAGGTTATTGTCTCCTCAATCGTCCCAAAACGCCGTTATTTCATAGGTCTCTACAATATTTGGAACACGAAAAAGTCGCAGAGGACTAAACCTGGTCAATATGGTGGCTGAGGTGCATAACTTCGATATAATACTCCTTATTGGTCGTACAACCATGTGGAGAGAACTCTTGATGCACTACCTTACGGTAATTGAAGGAAACAGTGTGCAAAACCTTAACAATTGATCGAACTTTGCGTGCTTTTTTTGGTCTAGGCTCTCCTGGGCTCTTCGATTAGGGCGATGCTACCTATATACCCATGATTCGTCATCAGTTATGGCTCTTTCAAGCAAATCTGGATTGCCATTGACGTCATTTGATAATTTTTGACCGATGCTTATGCGACGTTTTTTTTTTAGTCAAAATTCAGCAATTTTGAAGCGAACTTCGCTGCTACACGGTTCATGCCCGGAGTTTACGAAAAAATTGCATGATATGAGCCATGCCGGCATTCTCAGCAACTTCTTTTCTTCACTTTGTCAACATTCTCATCGGTTGTTGATGTGCTGGAGCGTCCAGGGCGAGCGTCGTCATTCACAACTTCTTGATCTTCTGTGAAAAGCTTCTACCACTTGTGAACGTTTTTCTGACTTTGAATCTTTCACCACATCGTGACTACTATTTGATCTATAGTTATTTGGAATATTTTTCTTGCCCTTTTTGGGAATAGACTAAACGCGACCTATCTTCCAACAAGAAGGAGGAACCCCTTTCTTGTAAGACATGTTGAAAAATCTGCAAAATACTGGTGCGAACTCATTTGCGTACTTTTCAAGTACGATGACGGGCACTTCATCAGGGCCAGACGCTTTGTTGATATTTACCTGTTTCAAAATTCGCCTGATTAGCAGTGTCAAAAAAAATGGATCAAAGAATTCGCATTCCACTTACATGGAACACTGTCATCCTCACTGGTGGACATCTGATGTTTCGGCTTAGGACACGTAATATCGCCCTTTCAGCACCAAATCTGAATAACAAGGTAACATTCCGGCCATATGCTGAGATTTAATCAAATGAGCCACTGAATGATTTTTCGTACTGTCATCAACGACATGAGTAGATTAAACTCATTCGTGACATAAAGTCGTACTTTAATGAATCAATCATCATCCAGATCTGGTGCTGAAGAGGAAATAAGGTAAGTGCCTTGTGTCGAAACATCT